GAGAACTTGTTTCCAGCGTGAGTTTCCCTGCCTTACCAAGCCCAGAGGGCAGGATGCCCAAAGTCATGATCGGAATTACACGCGTCAACGCGCAATTCTGCCGAAAACGTGGCGCGCCAAAGGTCGCTTCCTGCCTATCAAACGATCATGGGAGCCCGTTGTGGCCTGATCCACCACTATACCTTCGTTCCTTCATGGTCGACCTCAACGAGCATTTCGCGCGAAACAAACTGGCACATCTTAGGGTCAATACCTCTGTCCATTCTTCAATGCTGTTTGAGGCTAAGTGGATCGATCTGCGTCAGAAATAGAAGTGACAAGCAATGCGTGCGTGATGCGTTCTTCGATGGATTCGAGCCAGGATATTATGATTCAACGTTAGGAGCCGTGATCAGCTGGGTCAAATGGTCTGGTCACCAGCACACCGCTTGTCACAAGTATACACAGAGTAGCTCTAGCGTAGACGCAACCGAGCGCTACCAGGGCCTTATTTTTGATCCAGCGCTTCGTTCTGCGCCAAAGCTTCCCTGTAGGGTCACTTCAAATGAACGCTTCAAGCAATTTGCTGATGAGGCCCTTTTGATCGGCCCAAATGATCAGAGTTGGCGCTATCCATTGCAGGTTACGATCCAACACACGCAATCTGCAGCTTTTAGCAGCGCCGATTTCTAAATCAGAAGATCTAGAGTTTGATTGCTCTACAATCAGAAATCTTGAAGAGCCTGCCTTCTTTGCATTCGACGCATTGGCCACTTTCGGTCTCACTTTATTTAGGATCTGTACATAATAGCGTCGGTCTCATCGAGAACTCTTGGACAAGGCAGTTTCATGCCCAGGCGTTAGGAAAATTGCGTTTGTTTTGTGTTTCCTTTTTTTCTGAATACTAACCTCTGTATGGTCTCAGCATGCATCTGTGTCTAAGTATGTACATGACTAGCACATTTGGCTCACGCCTGGAAAAGCCGCTTGCTTTCACGTCGCGACGCTGTCCGTTGGACCTTTTTTGTCGAGACTGTGTTCTTTGCAGGGGTGACGCGGAGTGCAGTGCCCCCCCCTCTCCGGGTTCAACTCCCCTCTACAGATGGATGACAGGGTCTGACGCTCGTGGAGATGGCCATGAGCTTCTCATCTCATCAAGCTGCCGTCATGAACACTTTCCCATGTTATTGCCACTCATCATCAGCCGCTGCTGCTTGTTGGTTCCAACCACGGTGTACGGCAACCGCTGTCTACATCAAACCACGGCTTACACCAAAGCGCGGTTTACCGTCTACACCAACCACGGCTTACACCAAATCACGGTTTACGCCAAACAATACCGATTACGCCAAACCTCGTTTGCACCAACCACGGCTTACGCCAATGTACACCTAATCACGGTTCATACCAAACAACAACGGTTTGCGCCGCCCACCGTTTGCGCCAAACAACAGTTTGCACCAACCACCGTTTACGCCAAACCAGGGATTGCGCCAACCACCATACACCAACCACCGTTTACACCAAACCACAGCTTACACCAAACCATGGCTTACACCAAACCATTTGCTGCTGCTGCTCCTGCTGCTGCTGCTGCTGCTTGCTGTTGGTTTGTTGCTGGTGGTGCTGCTGCTACTGCTGCTGCTGCTGCTGCTTGGTGGTCTGCTGCTGCTGCTGCTGCTGCTTGGTGGATTCTTTGTTGCTTGTGCTGCTTGCGCTGCTGCTGTGCTGCTTGCGCTGCTGCTGCTTGCGCTGCTGCCTGCGCCGCTGCTTTTGCTGCGCCTGCGGCGGCTGCGTCTGCTGCTTGTGGGGCTGCGGCTGCTTTTCTGGTGCTGCGGCTGCTGCTGCTCTGGTTTGCTGCTGCTGTTGCTTGAGGCTTTCCTGCTGCCAAGCTCCATGGTAATTACAATGGTTTTTCCTTCTAGTACCTATCCCCCTTGGTTCTTCTCATGCCCCAGAAAATGCAAAACCCCTCATACCATTTCTTCCTTTACCCCGCCCCCTTCGAGGCCAAGGTGCATCATCCTTATCATCTCCATCATCGTCATCATCATCATCAGCAGCAGCCAATTCCCAAAAGACGCTGTGGAGAACAATCCTTATGGTGGCTTCATGAGATGGCCGTGCCTACTTGGAGTTGGTTGAGCAACATGTGGGCCTCGAACATGTCGATGATTCTGTTGTGTCCTTGTTTTCCTGGGGCAAGACTTCACCAATGAGCAAAACAATGGACGGTTGGGTTGTGTTGTTAGCAGAGAGTCATCGCGCCAAAGGATTCGGCGCAGCTTGATTTGAAGCTTGCGCGCTTTGATCAGGCAAATGGAAACCTTAGCTTTGCAGATCTTTTCGACCAGCTGACCAACCTTGCACAGTCGGAGCAGGTGTGGGAGTGGGATTCCTTGCTTTCATAAGTAACAAGTGCATTACTACCAGGAGCAACTAGCTACTAGCTCTGGCCAAAATTGAGCCTAGGGCGACTTGGACTTCGAGCAGCTGAGCTTGCTGCTGCAGCAGCTGGAGGCGTCTGTCCTCACTGACTTGTAAATATCATATTGGTTCACTTGGACTCAAGCCTTCCCTGAAGCAACATACAACATCCGCAGTTTGCGTGGAACAGGGGGTCGGTCAATGTTGAGGTTTGACGTGTCCATGATGGATCAAGCTGCCAAGATGGTCAAGTCAAAGTTTGGCTCGACTTTTGGGATTGTCAAATGCATGTTCAGGACTTGTTTCGCCCATCGCAGGGTGGGCTCACGAGGCCAAAAGGTGACGCTGGCGCTGGCCATTTCGTTCGTCGTGTGCTTCGACCTTACGCGCCTCAACCCTGTGGACTTCGTGTACCACTGCTGTTTGCGCTGGCTCCAGTTGCGCTCTCCCCGAGCCGAGCGTTCAGGATTAGACCTCTCAGGGTGGAGTTCACATCCCTTAGATGTCAAAGCAACAGCGGAAGAAGACGTCGGCTCCTGCGCCTGGCTCAGTGGCGCTTCGTCATCCACCGCCAAGGATGAGGACAGCTACGCGCCCTTCTTCCCAGGTCAACCGGCAGACTGCAAGGAGTGGCGACAGAGGATACAGCTAATGAAAGATGTCACTCTCCAAGCGGGCCAACAAGAGCGTTCTCAACATGTTGGCTCGTTCAAGGTACATTCGAGTCAACGACCAGAGGCCTATACCGTAAGTTGCTGCAGCCTAAGGTGACCTTGCCAAGGCTGGCGCCTGTTGAGGTGATCTTCACTCACGCGTGAGCAACGAGTTGGTGATGCTGGCAATGCTAATTATCCCCTCTACCTGATTCACCATGTGAATGGGAGGATGGGGCGATGACAGTGGCCACTATGAAGAAGTTGACTACCCCGTTGAGGCCTATCAACCTCCAAACAGGGGATAGACCCCGACCAATGGTATGTCACAGCCTTTGCGATCCTTCTTGTAGTGGCTCCCACTGATCTCCAGCAACTTGCTGCAGGTAGCGCTTCTCTCCTCAAGTCCAACATCCTGCCAGAAGGGCAAGGCAAGGGCAAACGCGCCACCATCCGGATATCCTTCAAAAGGCAGGTGAAAGTGATCCCAAGGGAAGAGCAAAAGCAAACGTGACAAGGTCACTGGGCTGCCAACTGTCAGAGCTTGAAGACGACTGGTTGAGGGGGTGGGAGAGACCTCCACCATCGATGCAGACTGCGCAATGCTTGATCCTGAAGCAAGTCCTCGCTGGTTACGCTCTCCTCCAGCGTTGCCTCCAGCGCTGGAGGATTGTCGCTTCCCCGTGGACAAGATTGCCGTGACCAGAGGTCAGAGACGCTGCCAGTTTGGAGGATGTGTGGCATCTTGGCCCACACGGCGGCGCGTTTACCCTTTTCCAGGAGGCTGCATCACGATGCTGGTGAATACCACATCATCGTTCTTCTTCGCGCGCGGAAACACAGTCGGTGGACAAGCCAGTGACGGAGCGTTTGTTGGAGCTTGCGGGGCGCCGTCAAATGGACGAGCTCTGATTGGCAAATTGTCGACGGCTTGATTAAGGACTCTGCGCGCTCGGGTGAAGAAGAAGAGACCAAAACCAAGAGGATGCAAGCCCCTGGCTGAAACGACAGCCGGACACGTGGAGTTGGAAGATTATGGCGTGTCAAACAACCATGCGCCGTGCGAAGGGGATGAACATGAAGAACGCGAGCTACATGAGTGCAATTGCCGCAGGAAGGAAACCCTGAGTTCCATCAGGGTGGGTATGTGAACTTTGTTTCCAATGAGCCCGCTCGTGCGTATGTCTTCGCCTCAAGCCATGTCGCTTCCAAAATGCCGATTGCCGACAAGCGTCGCTCTGGGACTGCCTTGGTTTGGGCGCTATGGCTCTTGCTGCAGCAGCGTCGCACTGCAACAACATGTTCGACTGACGCCGACCCTCATCGCAAAGATGTAAGCCGAACTGGAATGATTGGGTTGCGGGGGCTCCTACTGATGGCCTTTTGGATTGGTCGATTCACCAAGACCACTCCACAGGCGAAGGCCAAAACCGTGACTGACACCGAGAATGAGAAAGACGGAGCCATCGTCCCTCAACGACTCCGAACTCCTCAAAGCTGCAGTTTCATGCTGCCAGACGAGGCCTTGAGCTTGGAATCGAAGAGAGGTTGCCCGATGCACTCGGTTGTGGAAGCCTCAGGGAAGAGACCGAGGCTATTGGATTGCCGACTTTAATAGTCTTTGAAGGGCTTACGGCAACGGTCCGCATTGCTTCAGGACTTGCTCTGCACTATCGCCTGTCGCAGGGTGGGCTCATGAGGCCAAAAGGTGGCACAGGCCGCGACGCCGTGAGGTGTCATCCAATTCGTTCGTCGTTTGCGCTCGTCCTCGCTTCGACTACACGCTGCAACCCCGTGGACTTCGTGTATCACTGGTGTTTCCGCAGGGGCAAATAAGTGACGCTAGTAATGTCAACCTAGAGGTTTGGTGGCTGCTTTCTGCGCAATGATGCGCAGATCTTGAACGACCTGGGGCTGGACCAATTTTCAGTGCAAGGGCTGATGGGCTCGCTGGCCTTGGCCTCTTTGGGCTTGGGCGCCACACAGTTTTCAGGCGGGCTGGGCTGTTGAGACGTTTTTAAAAAACAAGATAAAACGAAACGATGATTTCAAGGACTCTTCACTTCTGATACTTGTGCTTGCACTTGTCCCACTCAGAAGACAGCCGCGATTTCCAGTTACAGTTCTTCTGTACAATTTTCTCGTAGAGATTCCAGTTTCAATGAATTTTTTGAATTTTTTGAGTGTTGCGCTGCGGAGGAACTAGCGCCATACCTGCTTGCCGTGCCAATGCTGATGTACACATTTTCCACTTGTATCCGTTTGTCACTTTGTTTTTCCGATGTAACTGGCTACATATATTTAATGACGCCAACTACCTGCATTTGACTCAAGAACCTTGGTCTTCAAATCTCGCGCGGTTGCTGCAACATAGAATGTGAATCATGCGTCCATGGAAAATGCGTTTATTGACTTCAACATCCCGCAAACCTTCCCGACCATTTTAGCAACCACAAGCCCTCCACACGTGACGGGTGACATTCAGACCATTCCGCACCCAATTCCGCCTGCAACCTTGGGAAAGGGTTCGTTGTTTTGCAAGGATTCAATTCCATATGTGCAACATGAAGATTCGATTGCAGTATATGTGTCAATCCTTTCCTGGCTGCCCCCGACAACGATAACTTGTCACGGCATCACCAACGCCTCACATGTGTATTCCGCAACCTTCGAACAACTGTGACCACACTGGTTTGCAGTAGTACATTCTTTGATAACGCAATTGATGCTGGAATACGTATCTGCATCATTGACATCCAAATACCTTCAAACATTGGGACAAACTCAAAATTCTAAAGGCGAATTGTTTCCACTATGATTAAACCTGCGAACATAACAGATTGTTTTTGCTCCATGAGCTTCGGTGTGAGCGGATTTGCATGGATTTGCAATGATTCTGTCCTGATGTGTTTGGCTTCAGGTGCCATCCCGGATCTAACGGACGTGGCCGGGTTGCTGGTGCCTGCTGATGTTTTGCTCTGCTGTTTCTGTGGGTTCGACAAGAAACACAGTGCCTTGCAGAGCATTCCACTTTCATTTTCGACAGGGTGATGACACTGTACAGAACATCAATTTGCTCCTGAGTTGCACTTGGGACATCAGACAGAGCCTGTAAGTGTGAGCTCAGTTCCCCGATCTCAATTTCAATTTCATAGAAACGGACAAAATAACCCTAATAATTAGCCTAATTCTAAGGCATAATTCTACCTAAACAATCCCAACAAACATGACCACACTGCATTGTGCTCTCTTGTGGTGCGTACAACGAGGTTGGCTCTTGCGTTCCAGCAGGCCCATGCTGCTGAAATTGGCAGAGCGGAACATATCAAATGTGCTTGAAACCGTTTCACATCAAAACAATCATTTCTGGTGTGATTGACAGATTCAAGATTTACGACGCATTGCGGCGACGTTTGACACGAGTGCAAGGGAGCCCAAGATAAGACAAGAAGCGCATACAAACAAGAACATACAAACCCAGCCACAGATGTATGGATAAAACATGTTGAGCTCAACATGCGACCTTGCAGTGCCCTGGAGTAAGCCCGATCGGAACTAACTTTTGATGGGTTGCCCTTCTGCGACAATGCTCACTTGCTTCATGCTCACCAGATTGTACTTACTGAGGTTTGGTGGACTTCGCACTTTCTGCGCGAAAGATCACTCACTGCTCAGCTGTGGCCGGCTGAGAATCTCTTGAGTCTGGGGATTTGAACGTCCTGATGCTGCGTGTGCCCTGTGTGAATTCAAGGTTGTACTCCCGCGGCGAGGCCGCAACATCAGTTCGAGCGGTTTCAATCTGCGACATCAAGGGCATACCCTTTTTCGAGAGACTCAATTGTGAGATAATGTGAGTGTTTTTGTATTTGGTGAAAGCTTGGCTTTGGTGCTTCCTTTGGCAGTCACCAGACAACCCAAATCGGCGAAGCCCGCTCCCTTTTCTTGGCATGCGGGACGATGATGCAATGCCTGCATGTCTTAATGATTGAGTCCATTCAGATGGAGAATCAGGAGACCCCGGTATTCCTTGACTCTATTGCTGCCAGGGAGAAGAGCCTGCATTCAGCACCGAGGTTTGCCATTGCAAGAATACGCAATTTAACGGATTGCAGGATTTCAGCTCGCAAGCTGCAACATGTAAGCGTGAGAAAAAACACTATATACTGTATTATTACACTCTTTAAAAGATTGAATTGCTTATGCTTGCTTCCTTTCTTTTGGTACAGTACGTTGCACGCAGATTGGCTTTCAATTGCTGCAATCTCTCCAGCTTTTGCAGAGTGAGGTGGCTGGCTAGGATGTGCTAGCTGCACTATGAATGACATTGGCATTCTCCAAGTTTCACCAACTTATGAGTCAACTTGTGATATCAAACATCCTTTCTACTGAGATGTTCCAGGTTTCAGTCTGCTCATTTTGTTTCAGGTTTGTGATTTGGATGCATTTTGCTTTCAGGGGTTGGCGGCGCTGTTCGGACTCGAGGCGGAGTGGGGATCAAGATCAACAGTTCTCGTTTGCCTGATTGAATCAATGGCATTTAACCAATTCAATAATTTAATATGATCACGAAAGGCTGCTCCTGCTCCTGCTCCTCCTGCTCCTCCTGCTCCTGCTCCTCCTCCTGCTCCTCCTCCTGCTGCTGCTCCTGCTCTTCCTGTTCCTGCTCCTCCTGCTGCTGCTCCTGCTGCTGCTCCTGCTCCTGCTCCTGCTGTTTGTGCTCCTGCTCCTGCTCCTGCTGCTCCTGCTCCTGCTGCTCCTGCTCCTCCTGCTCCTGCTCCTCCTGCTCCTCCTGCTCCTGCTCCTCCTGCTCCTGCTCCTCCTGTCCCACCCACCCACAGCCAAGGAAAGATTTGGCAATGGTGGAGCTTGAAAATGAAGACAAAGGTTTTCAGCAGCGGCAAAATGATCTGAGCGATTCCTAGCTCTTGGGTGGAAAGATGCCACCATTGTCACCCAGAAAACATTGTATTTTACAGGATTGTGGCTTTTGGTGCCTTGAATCCGTGTCGAATTGAGCAGTTGGCTCCAAGCTTCCCGTTTCTGACTCGGTGACTCGGTGAGTTATTTTTGGGGCAAACTCTCAACTGTCAGGCAGCTTCGGTAGCTGGCCTGCTGGATGTAGGTGGGCATTGTGACACACATGCACCTTGTTCCCTGAACTCACAGCGACCAAGGCAGCGACCCAATCCTGACAGATTTGCGCTCCTTCCTCTCTAGGCAGTGGTCTGTCGTGGGATGGTGCAGAGCTGCAGTTGAGCTGCAGGTTTTTTCCCTTGCAGGATCACCAACACAACCCGAGAGAACATAGAGACGACAGTCGTACCAGGCTCGAGTCCAAGACATCTTAGAGAATCCAAAGATTCCAGCAGTTTTGGGCCAAACTGGGAGGCCTGCTAAGCGCTTCGGCAAATGCATCCTCTATTTGCAGTTCTGGTCTCAGAAGGGATCCACCCCTCATGATTTTTGATGTATTTGGGGGCCACTGAGGTAGTCAAACAAAGCGAACGTGGGGTCAGTTGATGGCTCGCACACATGAGTTGGTGGCCCAAGTGAGTGATCGGAGTTTGACGTGTTTGTTTGCTTTCACTCTAAAGCTTTGAGCAAATCTCACGAGGGTCACCAGGTCTTCAATCTGATCAAAACAAGCTGCGCATGACACGTGCTAGTATTGAACCCAGTTGTAACACTTTCCGCTACTCGTCAATGCTGCGCGAATCGGCAGGGGTATAGTTTTGGCATTAGGGGCCACGGGGCCACATACCTTTGGACAAACCTTCAAGCTGCGCTAGCCCGAAGAAATATGCAATTTGAAAACAATTGGAGCTATTTCAATATTGCCTTTCAGGCTAGTGTTCCATGTGCCTCAGATCGAGGCGTTGCCCGTTCTACCGCGCCGTGGTTCCACAGCTGGCACAAGGTTGGTGGCACGCACAAGCTGATTGATATTTATTGTAAGCATCGTGTCATCAAGATGCCCAGGTGTGTTCGTAGTTTGCACAAGACATGGTTGGGCCAGTGGATGCTTCATGCTTGAGGGATGCTGTTGAGAGGTCGCCTTTTCAACAGCTTGTCAGCCTCCTAGAAAGCTTCAAGCCTTGGCGCTTTGAAGTGCAGCAACTTCTGAGGTTGACAGTTTTACTTGACTTCTGTTCATCTTGACTACAACTACAAAGGGTAGATCTTGCGGCAGATGAAGAAGTTTGTACTTGAATTCAAGCTTGTGGGACTTTGCTTTGGCTGAACCACGCAGGCAAACGGCAATCTCTGGTACAGTCCTTGGAGTGAATCAAATTGATTTGTTTGCAGACGCAGTCGTCACAGGACACCATGTTGGCAGATAGGCTTGGGCTTACCTATGATGTGCAGGCATGCGTGATGCCGACTTCACTCAGCTTGATGAAGACATGAAGAGGTTTGGCCTGGCTTTTCTTTGGAGAGTGGTGCATCCTGGAATTGAAATGTCAAGGCTTGGTGACTCAGTACCAATGACGCTGAATGAAACTGTCCTCGAGGCGCTTTCTTGTTCAACACCCATCCGTTGAAAGTGGGCTTGGAGACCACCTTTGGAAACAGAAGCGTC